AAGAAGAAGAAGAAGAAGAAGAAGAAGAAGAAGAAGAAGAAGAAGAAACTTCTGAACCTAGGTCTAGATCTAAGGAGTCAGTGTCCCCTGAACTACCTATGTTATAAACAACCCCACAGACATGAAACACACTAGTCAATTGGGAATAGGCCTATGATAAGTCTTGGAGGAGCCAAAGATAAGGCTCACAGTCTTCATTCAATGTTTTCCATGGAGGCCAGTGAGATGGCTCAGCAGGTAAAAGCACTTGCCACCAATCCCGATGAGCACACACAGTGGAAGAAGAGAACAGTCTCCTACACGTTGTCCTCTAACTTCCATATGTGCACTTGGGGGCACACACATACATACACACAAAGTAAGTATATGTAAAAAGGAAAAGTATTTCCCACTGAGCCAGCCACGGTGGTGAACACCTAAATTCCAGTACTCAGAAAGAAGAAACAGGAGGAAAATGAGTTTCAGGCCAGCCTGTGGTATACACTGAGAGCTTGTCTCACTACTAACTCCAGTGCTAGAAAACAAAGTGTTTCCCATTTCCTGTGCCACATGGATCTCGTTACTGTGCACTGCCATTTTAAACATTAAACCTGGTTCACATGGTGATTTAACTTTTTGGATTAGGGTGTATGTGTTGGACAGTACAACATTTTTCTAAACACCTTACAATGAATAAGACAAATCATTCCCACAACAGATAATTTGGCCTCAAGAGTCAAAACTGTTCTGGAACCCAGTGTAGGATGTTACAGCTTGCTAAGACATCTCTACTTGCATCTTAAGTACAGGCTTCCCTTTTTATTTTGAGACAAGGTCTCACTTTGTAGGCCTGGCTGGCCTAGAATTTGCAATTAGACCAGGCTAGCCTCAAACTCATGGAGATTTGCCTGCCTCTGCCTCCAGAGTCAAGTTTTGCTTCTTATAGTTTGTAGCTCCAAATGGCTAGGCTAGCACTTGCTGGATGTTTAAGAAAGTGTTAGATTAAAACAAATTTGGATCTTTTTTCAGGGTCTAGCCTAGGAAATGGATGGAACTTAAAAAACAACAACAACAACAAAAACCAAGCATACTTAAAGGAGGTAAACCAGACCCAGAAAGACAAACATCACATAGTCTCTCTCCTTGGGGGCTGCTGGCCCTACACCTTCAGATCTGAGTACATATCCTGGAGTAACTGCAGAAACCAGGAAAGTAAAAAAAAAAGACCAGTGGGGTGGGGTGGAGTGGGGGTGCACAAGAGAGAAGGGAATATCAGGGAACAAGTGATCAGATAAAGGTAAATGGGACAAATGGGGTGGGGGTTCTATATTAGGGAGTGGGGAGATAGATGCAGAAGGAGAGGAGGGTAAAATAACAGTAAGGATGTCTGATAAAGTCCTAAGGGACTCTTTACAAACAACACAAAACAATAATAGAGGTTAAACCTGTGTCTAAATATACACATATCATTTAAATGAAATTCTCTCATCTGGGCTGACAATTCTCCCTCTAAGAGTCAAAGACCACCCAACAAAAACCCCAACCCCAGGCACGAGAAGTCTTTTTTGAAGTTTGTTGGTCACATTGTTCAAGTGACTTCCAAAACATTACAGGCTTTTGTTGTTGCGTTTGGTTACAGACATGAGATGGAAATAAGTCCCCACTGTTGAAAACACCGCCCACTTCAGATGCAGGGATCAGACATCATTGAGCCGAAACTGACCTGAACGTCTACTCCCCGAGGACTAGCTTCCATGGTACCAAAAGTCATGCAAGCTTCTACAGGAGGGAAGCGACCAACAGTCCTCCCCAGCTATTCTATTCAGGAACCACAAAGGCAATCAGCATGGCATGACAACCCGAAGGGTGCAGTGGTGGATGAACACCACGGAGTAATTGACAGTTTTCTAACTGGACCTCAGACCCTCTAACACAGGGAAATCATGCCCGGTACTGGAAACCTTGCCAACTATTTGGGGCTAGTAAAGCCACCGATCCTGAAAAATAACCTACAACTGCAATACTAAAGTTGATTTCCTAAACCAGCATAACCCCTAACTACAACTACAAAACAACCCCCAGACCTAAGTAAGGCTCAGGGATCATTGTGGAAGAAGGAATGGAAAAATTCTAAGAGCTAGAGAATCAGGGCAGTTGTTGAGCCTGTGTCCCTAGGAATGTCAGAAGCTATACCCATAGCCTCACCAACATGCCCAAATGAGCAGAACAAGGACAGCAGACTTGCCAATGTGGATAGAAGACAACCCAAGAGATCTCAGCCCCACACAAAGAACTGCAGGCAACTAAGGAGTGCTGAGAGCACACCAGTTAGCTACCAATACCAAATGGTCAGCCCTGAAAATATACACGCACTGACATGTATGTACGTACCAACAATTACTAAAAAAAAAAAGAGGGGGGAGGTATGATTTTGAAAGAGCAAGCGGGAGTACATGGGAAGGTTGGAGGGCAAGAAAGGGAAGGGAGAAATAATGCAATTATATTACAGCCTCAAGAATAATTAAAAATCACAACATAACAGATCGGTATCAGAAACTTGCAAGTCAAAGGAAAGACTAGATCCCACCTCATCTTCCCCATCCTGGAGTCCCTTCACGCCCAGGTATTCTCCACACAGAAGCAAGAATACTCAGATCAAGTCACTTTCTTTAGTTGTCTTCTCCGCTCAGAATAACCCTAAGCCACACATGACATAGCCCCCAACATCACCTAGATGGGAACTCATTTATTCACTGTCTCACAGTCAGGTTGATGTCGTTCCAAAACCCTGCACACAGCCAGCCTTTCCTGCCTACTGGTCTTGGCATTTAGCTTCCACTGTGGCTTCCTTCACTAAGTATGTCTGAAGGAGAAAAGGAAAATAGCAGGTATTATCATTGGCAAGCTTACTTACACAGGTTACAGAGAAATAAGAAACTCTGTCTCTGCTAGGTAGTGGTGATACACGCCTTTAATCCCAGCGATCGGGAGGCAGAGGCAAGCGGATCTCTGGGAGTTCCAGCCTGGTTACAGAGCAAGTTCCAGGACCGTCAGAGCTACACAGAGAAACCCTGTCTTGAACAAACAAAACAAAAAACTATCTTTGATCTGGAACAAAGCTAAAACTGAACTATTTTGTAAACCTGCTCACCGTTTCCCTCTTTTCTGAAAGAAACACACACACACACACACACACACACACACACACACACACATCTGCTTTTCACCGATTTTCGAGATCTCGGACAGCAAATTCTGTTTGCTAAAGGTAAAATTGTCTTAACCAGAAACCTGCAAATTTCAGTTTCTGTAAAACTTGCTTAGCTCTGAAGTCTCGTTTGGTCTAAGGAGTCACCCTAAAATAGAGACTGTGACAATACAATACCTAACCCTATAAACAATGAAACACTTCTGCCGGAACCTGGGCCTCATTAAGCTACGGCTGTGGGGGTGGGGGTGTCACAGCAGCACGATGTCTTAAGTTTACTGTTCATCTGAGCGCAGCACGATGTCTTAAGTTTACTGTTCATCTGAGCGCCGAGAACTTCTCGTCGGGAAAGGTGGAGGCCACCCCAAGCCTGACGTCCATACCCCACACACACCTTAAGTGTTCTGACAGTCCAGATTTCCACTGAAATGCTGTCAGAAGAGAACCTCCGAAACAACACTAATCGGATTGAGTCTGTTGTTACTCTCCATCTTACTGCTAGCACCTCGTTAGCTTCCTTTAGCGCGCACTTAACAATCCTTGGCCACTTTATTTTTGTCCAACGGGAAATGTGACTCCGGGAAAGCGGGAGCCCCAGCTGATTGCTTACTTCTCAGTCCCCAGTGCCCAGAACCGGGCTTGGCTCAAAGGAAATAGTCCTAAGCCGTAATGATAACCTTCACGTCTCGTGGCTCACTCTTTTAACTGCAGTTTGGCGGCTCAGCCGTCTCAACTCTTTCCACTGGGAGCACACGTTTCCCCGGCCTCCAGTGGCCTGCGCGCAGCAGTCCCACCCCGGCGGCCATCTCCTGATCTCTCGGTCCCCAGCGGCCAGCGAGAGTGACAAGACCGAGGTCCTACCACCGCAGGAATCACTTACCTTCTTCTTCTCCAGACCTCCCATAGCTCCAAGTTAAGGGACCCCCGAAAGCCGCGCGCACAGGCAGAGCCACTTCCTCGCGCACGTGCCCTACCTAGGACCCCGAAGGACCCCACACCGCCAGTTCCGGGCTGCCCGAATATATGCCTGGGCGAGTGCAGAAAACGCTAGGCTTCTGACGATCTCTTTATTTACGACAAAACTTTCTAAAGCTCAATCATTGGGGTTGTTCTTTCTGTACTTTTCTTATCTGCCAACTCTATGTAGAAAAATTAAAACCAGCGTGGAAATTTAGGTAGTTTTATGACCACCCTAAGGACGGTTGCTTGGCAACGTGAGAGCCGCATTGCATTTCGGGATAGAGCAGGACCGAAGGCTGGGAGACCGCCCCGGAGCCTTCTGGGTTGCTGAAGGAACCGCTTTTTATTTCTTTTTATTTTATTTTTTTAATATTTATTATGTATACAATATTCTGTAGACCAGAAGAAGACACCTCATTACAGATGGTTGTGAGCCACTATGTGGTTGCCGGGAATTGAACTCAGGACCTTTGGAAGAGCAGGCAATGCTCTTAACCACTGAGCCATCTCTCCAGCCCCCCCTCCCGGAACCGCTTTTTAGTAGGCGAGAGCAGAGTTGACTTGTCGTGGCAACGGTTGCTAGGCGTTGTAAAACCGGGCTGGTCAGGCTTTACCTTGTTCCTGAAGTTCAGTTGCTCCTAGTTTGTGTATTCAAGTTAGGATAAGATAAAACAAAGGCCTACCTTTTTTTTTTTTTTAAACTACGTAGGGCAGAGAGATTTGAAGAACCACTTAAATTGGGGGGAATGGGTTAAAGCAGAAGAGGTAGGTCTCTGAGTTCAAGGCCAGCCAGATCTATGTTGTGAGTTCCAGTACATTGAAGGCTACAGAAAGCGACTTTATCTAAAAAACAAAACAGAAAAACAACAAAAAGAAAAATAATGGAAGGCTCAAGGTGATGGTGGAAGCCTGTAATCCCAGCACACAGGAGTCTGTGGCTGGGAAATCACAAATTCTAGTCTCAAAACAACAAAGACAAGTAAAGTACACAAAGCAGGGCTAGGGTGATGACCAGTGGACAGAATTCCTGACATGCAATAAGGACCTGCGCTCAGATATGCAACACACACATAGAAGTTGCAGTGACAGCCGGGCAGTGGTGGTGCACACCTTTAATCTCAGCACTAGGGAGATAGAGGCCGGTGAATCTCTTGAGTTTTAGGTCTTGAGTTTTAGGACAACATGGTCTACTGAGCCAGTTCTAGGACAGCCAGGGCTACAAAGAGAAACTTTGTCTCAGAAAAACAAGAAACAAAAGGAAAAACAACAGCTACAAATCCTTGCAGGGACAGTGAGGGCCTGGAATGCCAGGTCTGATGGGATGGAGTGGAGATTCGGTAACCATGGGATTAGCGGATCCCTTAAATTTACTGACCAGTCAGCCTAGCATAACAAAATCTAGTAGCTCTAGGTTTAGTGAGGAATTCTGTTTTCTTTATTTCATTGTTTTTATGAGACAGGGTTTCTATATAACAGCCCTAGCTGTCCTGGAACTCACTCTGTAGACCAGGCTGGCCCAAATTCAGAGATCTACCTGCCTCTGCCTCCTGAGAGCTGGGAATAAAGGTGTGTGCCACCACTGCCCAGCCTTGGAATTCTGTTTTTTTTTATATTTATTTATTAATTATGTATACAATATTCTGTCTGTGTGTATGCCTGCAGGCCAGAAGAGAGCACCAGACCTCATTACAGATGGTTGTGAGTCACCATGTGGTTGCTGGGAATTGAACTCAGGACCTTTGAGAGAGCAGGCAATGCTCTTAACCTCTGAGCCATCTCTCCAGCCCCGGAATTCTGTTTTCAAAAAAGAAAAAACATCTGGGCGGTGATGGCACCCACCTTTAATCCTAGCACTCGGTAGGCAGAGGCAGATGAATCTCTGTGAATTCAAAGCCAGCCTGATCTACAAAATGAGTTCCAGGACAACCAGAGCTACACAGGGAAACCTTATCTGGAATAAACAAGAAAACACCCAAACATTCAACGTTAAGACACACCTGAACTTATAGGTACACACACCCAGATGAACACTCTTAGTGGGACATCTCTGAGGGGAACAGGTATCCTAGCAGTTGGGAGCCAAGGAACACCACAAAGTCACACCACACAATAAACATTCATAGAAAAGATGTATTGGGAAAGACACGAGAGTGAGTGGACACTTCCACTTGGGAGAGAAGCAGCAAAGCACTGAGCAGGAGGCAGGCTTTATACAGGGTTTCTTGGAGGGGAGGGAGGGCTTTTCAGGGTGGGGTTGGTGGGATTCTGTGGCCTGATGTTGTTGTTTTTTCTTTGTAGGTGGAATTTGGATATTTGCCTCTTGTGGGGCTGTTAGAGTAGTCTAGGGGGCAGTGCCTTGCCTCTTGTACCTCAAGGGGCTTACAAGCACTACACGGGCATACAACACACACACCTAAAGTTGAGCAGAGTAAGATATCCATGGAATATTTCTAAATGTATATTTAACACATCTGAGCTTAAATACAAGCTAAACAATGAAGTTCTGTGTTGGGACTGAGGGCACGGCTCTGTAAGATAAAGCACTTGAGTGCAATCATGAGGGCTCATTTGGATCATCGGAGCTATGTAGAGCTGAATCTATAATTCCAGGCCTCCTATAATAGATAGGAGCCAGAGGCTGGAAAGCTCACAGGACAGCTAGGGTATGCATCAGTGAACAAGACACTCTGCCTCAAGCAGTGGAAGGTGAAGACAGATACCTGTTGGGAAATATTATTTTTAGGTGTGTTACTTTTGTTTATGCTGCATTTGATTAACTGTGAAGCTGTGATTCTTTGCCTGTCTAAAACCCCTGAGGGGCCTAATAAAGAGATGAATGGCCAGTAGCGAGGCAAGAGCAAGGATAGGCCAGGCTAGCAGGCAGAGAGGATAAACAGGAGAACTGAAGGGAACAAGGAGTGGAGGATGGATGTCAGGGGTCAACCACCCAGCCAGCCACGGAGTAAGAGTGAATGTAAGATATGTACAGAAGTAAGAAAGATAAAAGCCCAGAGGGAAAATGTAGATGGGATAATATAAGGTAAGAAAAGCTGGCTAGCAACAAACCAAGCTAATGCCAGCTATTAATAACTAAGAATAAGCCCTGTGTGTGCTTTATTTGGGAGCTGGGTGATAGGCCGCTCAAAAAAAAAAAAAAATCAGTAAAACATCACACAACGGATACCTGAAGTTGTCATCTGCTCTCCACACTCATGCCAGGGCACATATGCGCCTGCACGCACACACAAACACACACTACACATACACAGTATACACACACATATAAAAAAGACAATTTCCATGTTGTTTTCCTTAAGGAACAATTGCAAGATTCATATATTCACACCTGCTTTAGGTGGTGGTTATGTGTGTGCAATACAGAAATATAGACTCATTTGTGTCTTTTCATAGTGGCAAAATTTATTTAATAATAATTTCACAAGTATTTCAGTTGCTTTGACTACAACGTATCAAACTGGTTCCAATTTTGTTTCCTGGCTGGCCATTGGCAATCACCAAGAAAGGCTACAAGACAGATGACGTCTATGCCAACCCCTCTACAAGGGAACAGCCCTGAGACTGGATGAGACAGGATAAGTCTTGTTGGCTGTGAGTACTTATGACAATTTGCTTATGCAGTACAGATAGACTTAGAAACTTAATGGATGCCTTTCTCAAACATAGAGAAGAAAATCATCTTTAACTGATGTGTGCACACTGCACATTCCATGCTTTTGTTAACACATATATACATGCTACCTTTAAGAGTTTGTGTGTTTTCAGAACAAAAGGACCAGACACCAATGAAGACAAGACGCCCAGATGATCAACCTCTCAGAATGCCTCTGTTGCAGTTTTCTCAAAACTCTCCATCCAGAACAACTTCAAAGCAGCTAAAAAGAAAGCCTATAGACTACCCCAGCCAGGTCTTCTGATAAACCCTGCACTTTTCTGTCACACAGAGACTAGACAGCAAACAAATGGCTAGTTCTCCCAGAACTTGACCATTATCGCAATTTTTTCAGGGTCCCCTAAAGATGCCATTGCCCTCCAGATGTAACAGGCTTTCTTGGACCACCAGCCCCCGTCATGACACAAAGACATATTACTAGTTATGAGTGCTTGGCCTTATCTTATGCTGTCCCACTAGCTCTTATAACTTAATTCTTTTCATCTACGTTGTGTCTTGGGGCTTTTAACCTTTCTATCATCCTGTGTGTCCTACCCCATGTCTGACTGGCTGGCAGCTGGCTAGCTGCCTGGCCTAGGGCATCTTTCTCCTTTTCTCCCTCATTCTCTATTCTCTCTTCTCTTTCTCTCTTGAGCCTAGATTCCTTCTCCTACTCCTTCCTCTCTTTGCCTGCCTGTCCTGCCTATCCCTCTATTACCTAGCTACCTAATGTTCATCTTTTTATTAGACCAATCAGGTGCCTTAGGCAGACAAGGTAAAACAGCGACCCATCTTTACATAATGAAACAAATGCAGTGTGAACAAGTTGTACAGATTGGCAAATAGGACACGAGGGAAGTCAACTGTCAAACTTTGCCAAGAGAAGGTAGGCAAGTCATTAAAAATTCCTGCTTCACAGAAAAGTCTGTCAGATACTCTAGGTCTGTAGGCTGAAGATAGATGCTCCAACATTGCAGAGGAACCTTGGGTAACTGTCCAGGCAGTCAACTGTCTCTGTCAATTCTATAGTTTTGTAAGTTGCTTGGTCTGCACTTTCTGTTTACTCGGGCAATTGTTTATTCTTCTTAGGTCTCTGATGAGGTTGAAGACTAGGTAGCTATAGTTTTACTGTTTACTGTATTACCATATTCAAAAAAGAAACTCACAAAAGAGATTTAAAGTTTATAAGGTTGAGAGACATAAAATCTTAAGTTGTTTATCCCAGAAAATGTTTTAAAATCTAAAATTATATTTATAGGTTGATAATACAAGATATGATAGAAAGTGACTTAGGTACAAAACTTTGGACTCATCAAAATAGGATAGATAATAGAGTACTGTCTCTAAATTTGCCAAATATAAATGAAATGGACTTTGTGAATGAAATTCTTACCTGATAATTGTTCTATTGTATATTTTTACTATGTTAGAGTTCCTTTTTATTTAGACAAAAAAAGAAGGAAATGTTGCAAGATATTTTATCAGACTGTGTGAAGATGTGTTTCTGTCCTTCCTTGCCTGTTTACGGCAACTTCTGATAGGTTTAATAAAAAGCTGAGTGGCCAATACCTAGGATAGGCAGAGGAGAGGATAGGCAGGACTTCTGGGCAGGGATAGGCATTCTGGAAAGAATCTGAGGTGGGGGTTTTCATCAGTGAGACACAGAGGTGAACGTGTATTATGGAAGAGAGGTAATGAGCCACGTGGAAGAACGTAGATTAATATAAATGTGTTCATTTAAGTTATAAGAGCTAGTAGGGGACAAGCCTAAGCTAAGGCCAAGCTTTCATAATTAATTAAAAGTCTCCATGTAATTATTCAGGAGCTGGTGGTCCAAAGAAAGATTGGCTATAGTGTAGTGGTATATTATTTGTGTTTTAATAAATAAAGTTTGCCTGATTGATTTTCTGTTGTTGACCTTGAACCCCAATATCTGGGTTTTTATTATTCATGCTACACTACAGGACCTCATTATGTAGTCCATACTATCCTTAAATTTATGATCCTCCTGCCTCAGCTTCCCAAGTACTGGGATTACATCACACCCAGCCAAATATTACTAGTTAAAATTTATTTCCAATTTACCACATTCTGGAAAATGCCATAAATCTTTGTATGAACATCCCACACTTCTTGTCACTTTGTTGTCCACTTAGATTCTGAACAGACACATGAAATGTCCCTGTCTTGTAAATGGTCAGAAAATCAAGGGTCTAGGACCCTAAGGAATGAGGGTTCAGCTACACCACTGAATCATGCCATCAAGATCTACAGGGTCTTTTAGATAATCTGTGGAGAACGTCTAATACCTACTCCAGCATAAACCCTGGGCATGTGATTGTTAGTCGATATGTGTGTTGTTTTTACCGCTGCTCCTGAGCCCAGCCCAGTGGTTCTGGCCCCAGCACCATCCAGGAGAAACCTCCGACAGCAAGTTCAGTCTAGTCTTGGGTTGTCTTCTTCTGTTGGAACTCTGTTCTGTTTTTCCACAACGTGTGCTTAACTCTTAACTGTACATCTTTTCTATCTGTTTCATTAAAGGAGAAGCACTTTAAAAAGAGAAGAAGAAGAAGCAGTGATCCTAGCTACGGTACACGGGAGAGCTTGCCCTGACCCTCACCTGCTGTAGCACTGGGGAGTAAGCGGTCCTAGCACCACACTTGGGCATCATAATAGTGCTGGTGGTGTGGGTGCAGGTGAGGTGATCCTGAGGGTGTGAGAGCAGGAGACCTGGCCCTGCTCCTTGCTGCTTTCAGCTTTGGATGGATTAGCTGAGGTAATGCTGAAGAGCTCACCCTGGTGGTGAGGATGTGGGAGAGTTGGCAGGCTAAACAACTTAGCTACCACCCAGGTCCAGCTCCAGGGCTATCAGTTGACCATCCCAACATCCACCCCATCTATGAACTGCTGGAGCTTGTGAAGGGTCCAGTCCTGCAGATGCAAAGCTACAGAATCTCCATGACACAAGGCAACAGCGGGACATCTGAGAGAAGTCCTAGTGAGGATTCAATATTGATGGTGGAGTAGAAGCCAGAGGCCTCAAACCAGACCAAAGACTCATTGCAATGAACAAGATGTATGGGTTATGTGACTCATGGTGGCACATTACACTTTCCACAATGAAATGGTTTTTAATTTAATTTTATTTTGGAGGGGAGGTTGCATGGGCAGAGGGTGGATATGAAGGGTTGGGGAGATGGGTAGGAATGGGGTGTGTGATGTGAAACCCACACAGAATCAATAAAAAGTTTTTTAAAAAAAGAAGTACTGATAAGAACAGTCTTAGCTGGGCCTGAAATCACAAGTGCTTGAGGATGTTGAGTTCAAAGCCAACCCGGGAAACCTATCAAGAAACAGTCTCAAAATAAAAATAATATAAAATAAAGGGCTCACTGGTAGGGCTCTGCCTACCACAAGTGAAGCTCTGACTTTAATCTCCAGAACTGCACACACGCATGTGCAAACACATGCAAGCACACACACACACACACACACACACACACACACACGTCTATATATGTTTAGTTAGGTAGAACTTTTTAAAAGATAAGTGCCTATTTTTGCTATTTTAATGTTACATTAGACAAGAGAATAAACTGTGAGGCTGCAAAGGCAAAGGCCCTTCAAGAAGCAGATGAGGTAGAGGCACCACGGTAGCTATGATGGCCTTGCCCTGTAGGGAGCACAGGGACCACAAGCATGCAGTGGTCATCAGTGATGTGGTAATTGACAGCATCTACCACCTGCAAGTAAAAAGGAAAAAAGAGAAGTTTAAAATAAATTTAACCTTTAATCCCAGTACTCGTGAGGAAGAGGCAGGGGGATCTCTAAGAGGTTGAGGTCAGCCTAGAGGACCTAGGTTCAGTTTCTAGCACCCATAGGGCACCTCACAGCAGCCTGTAACTCCAGTTCCAGAGGATCCTGTTGTATGATGTTTTACTTTTTTGGTTTTTTTTGGGGGGGGGAGGGGCGACCACCCAGGTTCCAAATAAAACACACACTGAGGCTTAATTCTTAGTTATGAATGCCCGGCTTTAGCTTTGCTTGTTTCTTGCCAGCTTTTCTTGTCCAAATTATCCCATTTACTTTTCATCTCTGGGCTTTTATCTTTCTCGCTTCTGTGTACCTTATTTTACTTCTTTCTCCGTGGCCGGCTGTGTAGCTGGGTGGCTAACCCCTGAAGCTCTCCTCTCCTTGTTCTCTCCTTGCTGTGCCTCGTTCTCTTTCTACTTATACTTGCCACCTGCCGGCCCCACCTATCCTTGCTCCTGCCTCGCTATTGGCTGTTCATCTCTTTATTAGGACCATCAGGTGCTTTAGATAGGCGCAGAACCACAGCTTCACAGAGCTAAACAAATGCAGCGTAAGCAAAAGTCACACACCTGAAAATAATATTTCTCAACAGGATCTAATGCCCTCTTCTGACCTTTGAGGGGTCTTACATGTAGTGCACTTGCATACACAGGCACACACATACACACTTACATACACTCAGCTACACACATATACACATACACTCAGGTACACACATACACACTTATATACACTCAAGTACACACATACACTCAGGTACACACATACACTCAGGTACACATGTACACACATAAGATAGATACTTAAAACAACATGGAGAATTTAAGGGAACATTGGCTATGACCGGCCTCTTGGCAGTGGATGTTTGCAGGTGAAGGGCTATCAGCAGGTACTTCAGATCTACATGCATGTCTACAGAACAAGGGACCCAGGAATCTCTGGATTGGTTGCCATCAGGAAATCAAGCAACTGCTGACAAGAAAGTAGGCCCCGAGTCCCGTATACACCGGTGGTGAGAATGTACATTAGTGTAGCCACTGTGAAAACATGGAGGTGCCTCAGAAAGCTAAAGCAGCAACTACTATATAAGCTATCTATACTATTCCTGGGTACCTACCAAGAGCAGGCCACAGACATACCTGCACACCTATGTCTACAGCCAAGCTATGGAAGCAGGCTAGATGCTCAACCACGGAGGAATGGATTACAAAAATGTAACACAGAAAGCCATGAAAGTCGGTGGGGGATAAGGGAGGGTAAAGGCAGTAAATATTAGCAAAGTGCAATGACAGATATGTATCAAAGTGCTCTAGTGAAACCAAGTTTTATTACATTTTAGTCATGATGTGTGCATGTACATTCCATGGCATGTGTGTGGAGGTCAGAGGACAGCCTTCAGAAACCGTTCTCTCCTACCTAGGGTTTGAACCAGGTTGTCAGGCTTGGCAGAAACTGCTGTTACTCACTGAGCCGTCTCACCAGGCCCTTAAGCCCATTTTGTACACTGTGCTGGTTAGTTTTTAGGTTTCTTTGTTATTGTTATTTTCTTATTGTTGTTGTCTTGTCAACTTGACACAAATTAGAGTCATCTTGGAAGACAGAACCTCAGCTGAGAAAAGGCTTCCATCATAACAGCAGGTAGGCGAGTCTATGAGGGTATTTTCTTGTTTGATGATTGATGTGGGAGGGTCCAGAACACTGGGAACGGTGTGCTATCCCAATGGAGCTGATCCTGGGAGATACAGGAAAGATGGTGGAAGTCTGGAGAGATAGTTTAGCAGTTAAAGGCACTGGCTGTTCTTCCAGAGGACCTGGGCTTGATTCCCAGCACCCACATGGAGGCCCACAATCATCTTTAACTCCAGATGACCTCTAAAGACATTGCATGCACATGGCAGGCAAAATACCCAGAAATATAAAATAAGACTAAGAGGGAAAATTATAAAAAGAAGCAGGTAGCTGAATATGAGCCTGGAGAGCAAATCAGTAAGCAGCGTTACTCTGTGGTCCTTTCTGCTCCAGGTCCTGATTCTGCTCCTGTCTGACTTTTCACTATGGTGGGGCTGCTGTTGGGACACGTAACTCAAATAGACCCTTTTCTCCAGAAGTTACTTCTTGTCATGGTGTTTATGACATTAGTGTAAAGCAAACTAGGACACACACTAAAAATCCTGAAAAAAACCATGTGGTACGTACACAGTGGAGTGAATTCAGTCCTAAAGGATTCAGGGGATAGGTGGAATCAGAGACCATCCTAGTAAATGAAATGAGCCACACTCAGAGACAGAGCAGTACACACCCACGAGCAGAACCTGTATCTATATATCCATCTGTCTAGATGTGACAAGCAAGTGGAATAGGAATCATTTGGGAAGGGACTAGCAGAGGCGAGTTTCAAGAGACTGTAACAGGGAGACCATGAACAGAACACACAATATAAATGGGTGAGATTTCATAATGGAACTCGTTCATGTGTACGCCACAGTGTGTGTGAAGCAATGGTCAGTGTTGATATTTCTGCTGAAGGTACCTTCCTTATAGGATGCTCAAGCACACTCTTTTCTCTCAAGGGAGGAGCTTTTTTCTTCAGCATTAGTTTCTGTTTTAGTCTTGTTTCCTGATGCAGTGGCTAAATACCCCAACAAAAGTAACTTAATGGAGAAAGGGTTTATTTTTCTCACAATTCCAGGGTAAAGTCCATCATTTTGGGGACGTCAAGGCAGAAGGGACTTAAAGCAGTTAGTCACATGACATCATGGTCAGGAGCAGAGAGCAATGAATGTATGTTTGCTAGTGCTCAGCTCATGTTCTCCGTTCGTACACACGGCTGCATCCCTTACTAGGGAATGGTGCCGCCCACAACGGGCAGGTCTTCCCACCTCAGCTAATGCGATCAAAACAACCCACACAGACATGCCCACAGGCCAGCCTGATAGAGACAGCCCTTCATTGAGAACTCTTCCTAGGTTGTGTCAAGTTGGCAGTTAAAACCAGCTGTCACAGTTTTCTTCAGTTTTGATGAGTCAGTATTAATTTCTGATAATTAAGGTTTATTGCTCCCCTCTTTTTCCTCCTCCTTCTCTTCTCTCTCTCTCTTTTTTTTCTCTCTCCCTCTCTCTATGTTGCAGGTATTGAAGCCAGGGCCTTGTATATGCCAGATAAACACACCACCTCTGAGCTACATCCCCCCAGCCCTAGGTGATTAAAAAAATTAAATTATATTTATTTATTTAAATATTTAAAATTAAATTTATTTATTCATTTACTCATCCATTTATTTATTTAATAAGAGGAAAACCTGTGAAAGCTGGTTCTTTCTTTTCGCCATATAGGTCCTGGAGGACAAACTCAGGTCATCAAGCATGGAGGAAAAGCCTGAACTATCTAACAAAAACCCTGCAGATGGTAGAGGGTTGGTCCCCTTCATCTATAATCTTAGCAACTTGGCAAGTACCAGGCTAGCCACTGCCACATAGCCATCAAAATCAAACAAACTAGGAATGATGGGTTACATAACTGTAATCCCAGCCTTGGGCACTGTTCTGGTTCCACTAGAAAGAAGGAACACAGCAGAGAGAAAAGGTGGCAGAGTTAAGTCCACACAGAGATGAGCAGCTTACCTAAATCAAAGACTCCAGAGTCACATAGGACCTGGAGGCATCATCTCTCACACATCCCCTGCCAGCTCCCTTTCCTGGGCCCTCTCTGACCCTACCCCCTTCTTGGCCAGAGATGTGGTCAAAGCAAGTAAAGTAGTCTGCTTTGGCAGTGCCTTCAGAGTTCCTGGTGGGAAATACAAACCAGTGTCAAGGCCAGGGACAGAAAGCTCTCCTGGGATTTGTCAGCAGGAACCCAGGGCTTCTCCTCTAAGAGTTCTGGCCAGGTGATCCATTTGAAGAGACGAGGTGCCGGGGCTATTATGAGGCCCAGTCACACACACCGTAATTCAGAACTTGAGTCGCTACATTCTCGTCCGTTGTTCCTCACCACCACTTAGAACATTTTAAGTCTTTTGGCTTTTCAAGACAGGGTTTCTCTGTGTAACAGTCCTTGCTGTCCTGGAACTCATTCTGTAGACCAGGCTGGCCTCGAACTCACAGAGATCCACCTGCCTCTGCCAACCAAGTGCTGGGATTAAAAGCGTGTACCACCGCTGCCTGTCAGAATGTTCTAAGTCTTGTGCCCCATGCTCCAAGGTTTCTTCTTTCTCAGTTCTGCTCCAAATTGTAGGATCTGGAAACTTGTCTGGGTCACTGTTTGCTATTCACGCTCTTTCCTGAACTGTGGTGATTGCTGGGAAGAGCTGGCATGGGACAATCTTGAACCACCTGCCAGACTCTGCGGTATTTTACAACA